GGTTTAAGAGTTTTAAGAGTTTAAGAGTTTTTAAGAGTTTTAGTCAAATGCTTTATAATATAATATAGATATATATATATATATATATTTATTTATTTAATGATAACTGACGTGGAAAATATTATATTGTCACACAGGTTTGACCCAAGTTGATGATGTGGACTCAAGGGTTTCAATCTCCTGCCTTGCCGACTATTTGTACAGAGTTTCGGTGGAATCCACGTCACAAAAGGTTACCTTTCTAAAGGCCCTATACTCTTAAAGATACCTTGAAAAACGATAATATAAATAATAATTATTACTTTAGCAATAATATACAAATAATAAAATAAAATATTAATTCACTTGTAGATTGCATTAATATTACCTTATTGAAACCGATATTTGTAAGTATGTGATCACAGAGGATTAAAAATATGTTGAATTTCAAGAACAACTACCATCTAACAGTCATGGTCTGCAACATCCCTCTTTTTATTTAATATTTTATTTAAAGGTGTTTGGTTAGAGATATTAAGCAGTAATCAATTAGAATAATAATAGAGTAAATTGTTTGGTTTATATAATATAACAAGTTCATTCTTCATAAGCCCAAATTTTCGTTACAAGTTAAATTCAAGGGAATGAAAAGTAATCTTCATTAACTTTTTTGGGGAATACATCTGACTCTTTTAGTACACTGACCATGATGTAATGGAGGTTTTTTAACAAAGTTAGTTCCAAAGAGAAAAAAAACTAAATAAAATCAAAAGTATAATAACTAAAAAAGCAATTTTTAGAAAGTAGGGACAAAAATGATCATAAACATCAAACCACACGGACTAAAAGTAGATGCATATAAGTTTAGTTGTCCTTAACTGTAAATCTTAAAAAGTTCAAAATTGTCCTCATTTAAGAAAGGGCACCACAGTCATTTGGTTCTAGTCTCCAACCCTATATATACCCCCACCACACACATTCAGATCCTCACAAACCTTTCTCCCCGCTGCTGCTACCCTCCTGAGTATCTACAAACCCAAAGCAAGTAAGCATTTATGTATTTTTCTTGCTGTTTTTAAGTTTTGATTGCAATTTCTGAGTTTATTATGCCGGTAACTCCTTGAATTGATGAAAAACTCCATCTCCATTCTTTCATTTTTGATTTCGAATCATGGGTGTTTGTTTATGTTGTTTGGAATTACTCTTATTTTATTCAACCGAACTTATCGACGATGTGAATTTTGGTTTGATCTAACCTTTTCTTGGAAGAAGCGGTAGTGTGATTTTTCTTTTGAATCTACTCGATATTTGTTGAGGTATTTGTTTTTTGTGCATTCATGGTGATTTATCAGGCTAGACCAAAATAAAAGATCTCAGATCTAGAGTCTTAATGAGTAAACTTACTTGCTATTCATTCAAGACCATAATTGCGTGATGTTTGATCATCCGATCGGAAAAGTCAAATCTTTTCAAGATCATAATTGTTGTTTGATGTTTGAGGTCCTAGTTCACAATAATGAAGAAATTAGGTGTAGTATGTTTAAGATCTGAATTCGTAATGGTGTAGTATGTTTAAGATCTTTGAATATTTGAAATCGGCTCAGATTACTTGTGAATCAATCAGATATGGGTTTTTTTGTTGTTGCAAAAATCGCCTCATATTATTGAAAATGATTTTCTTTGATTTTGATTTTTAGGATTCAGGACTTTTTTTCACTATAAACACATCGATTTTTCAATTATGGTGTTCTTCTTCTTTTCTCTTCCTACTTGGATAAATTTATGTTGTGTCCTCTTCTGGAGTTATGTTGAAATCTTGATTGTTTAGGGTTAATGTTAATTTGAAGAATATGGTCGATGAACCACACTTGCTTACAGCATAAGGATCTGTGTGTTTCTCTATTTGAAATCAGAGTTCTTTGAAGGTGTTATGTGCGTATGTGGTACAGTTACCTGCTATATAGCTAGGAAAAGGCTGTAGAAAGGTTAGAAATTTGGGACTCTTTGGTGCTTTATTCTACCAGGTGAAATTAATACTATGAGACAACTGATAAGTGAACACAATAACGCCTATATTCTACTAAGGACCTGTTTGTTTGTTTTTTTCCTGCTTAATGGCTAATTTGCTCGCCATTAAGTGCTATTGGTTTTTGGCTTAATTTCTAAGCAAGGACTGAATTAGATAGGCATTATGTATCTGCATTCTATGTTCAGTAATCTTATTTCAGACAGACAGGTTTCAATAGAAAAAAGAAACATCCCCTAACTCTCTCGAATTTTGATTCATGTGTGCAGAAACTTCTATCTCCTTTCTTCACTGATTAGGGTTTACCCGGTTTCCTGGTTTGAATATCTCTTCTCCTAATTCCTTTTTTCGCTTTCTCTATTTAATTTGTTCATAGACTTGTCTTTTTTTGTTTTAATTTCATTATTGTTTTACACAACATCGAATTATTGTTCTACACCAAGTCTGTTTTTGTTATCTAGAGGTCTAATTACTTTAATGTTTTTAAGTCGAACTGAGGATGATTCTGCTGTTACCGGGTACATTTACGTTTCGATTTTTGCACACTCTATATCTCGAAGCAAAGCTGTTTTTATATGCTTACAGAACAACTTGTCATATGTTTCGGTTGTATTTTCTTTCTTGACCTATTCAGCAGACATCAGAGATGACTACAACAACGGTTGATCTTCAAATCATCCCATTACATAACTGCACCAAATGTATAAGAAAGGTCGAAAAGACACTTTGTCGGTTTGATGGTGTCAAATTGTTAGATGTGGACTCTGAAAATGGGAAATTCACCATCGAAACTACTAGACACCCTGAAGAAATCAGGGATGCTCTTCAACGCAAGTTTGCTGGGAAATCCGTTTTTCTGTCCAGAAGGATCAACCATTCGAATCCATCCTCTG